CTAAGCTGAATATATTTGCATTCTGGACAGCTGTCAGAATTGGGTTTGATATGAAATGTACAGTTGTTACAAACTGATTTTTATTTGTATGTTCTATATTATTTCCCCTAAGCCCACAGTCATTAAATACTAGGATGAATGTGCAAGTCTCCCCCCCTTATTTTCCTAATGAGTCATATCAGATACTGAAGAGGAATTTCCAAATGGTGAACGAGAAACAAAGAAAGTATTTTAAAAGCCAACAGTCATAAATCCAAAGATACACATTGGTTTTGATACTCGGCAAATATTTGCATTTTAAATTTCTCAGGGCTCTCCCTTCCTCCGGTGTTTTCCCTGCCTCTTCTTCCCACCCAGCCCATCATGATTTGACTAACCGAGTGGCGACCAGCACCTCCGTGCTGCTCTAGCAACAAGTCATTTTCCAGTCAAATATGGAATCACGGAGTCATAAAAGTTAAAAATAAATGAGGCCATCTAGACTTCGGATGGATGATGTCACCCAGACCACAACAGCCTAAGAAATAATTCATGTTGTAGCTGCGGCACAGCTGCACAGTGACGTCTTCTCTCATCTTATTACAGCTGAAACCAAAGTGATTACATTTCAAAATGTTTGAAGTAAATCATTTGTCTGAGAAAATAAAACCATTCATTTGTTCACCGTCTTCGAGTGGATGTCTTCTAATGGCTTTCTGAATAACTATTTTACACTTGCAAATCAATACAGCAGCAATAAAGCAGTCCAGACATGATCTGAGCGAATGCAAAACTAACCCCAGCACAGACCTAATGGACATAGAATATGTGACGCATCACTGTTAGGAGTATCTCGAGGAACATGCTAGAGTTTAGCAGAGAAAAAAAACAGAGCGCATTTTTTCCCCATAATTCTTCTCTACATGATTAGCTGTTAGATGCAAACTATGTCTATTTTCAATATTGCATTGCTAAGCCCCCCCCCCCTACTCCTACATTTACCTGTCTGGGAGCTGACCACCTAGCTGTTACCCATGTATATTAGTGACCTCTGAAATGAGTCTCTTGATTTGTTCTCCTGGAGAGCTGAACAATGACTGTTTCCCCACTGTTTGAGTTGCACTATATTCAATTTAGTCTAGTTCAATTTTATTCATGCAGTTCACAACAGCTGTCACCTTCAGGGCCTTACTCCATACTCACTGGAGAGGCAGCTCAAGGACTGCGTGGAGCCCGACACCAGCAACAATGCCAATCTGTAGGTGTCTTCTTAACCCCTGGTTGAGAGCCTGGTTCTGCTGACGCCTCTTCCTGTCAAAAGGGAGTTCTTCCTTCCTACTGTCACCCACTGGGATCGTCTGATTGTTGGAAATTTCTCTTGAGTATTTTGTAGGGTTTTTACCTTGCAATATACAGCCCCTTGAAGGTACTGCTGAAATAAAACTGAACTGAAAGGATCGAGCTACCAGGCTAGCAGCAACATGACTAAAAAATCTAATACTTAAATACATCCCATTTAAAACCATTATTATCTGCCATTCAGTGTTCAACAACTACACTTGTTTCTTTCCCTCTTTCTCAGAAGGCAGTCATTTATTGAGAAGATTGCTTTTTCCTTGCCAGTGGAGCTACAGTTTCAGACTGTCTGTATTTTCTAGTCCACTCTGAGAGACTATCGGGAGCAGAAAATACAGAAAATGAACTGATAAAACAAACTGGCCTAGATTCACATAAACCCTGTCACTGCCAACGACACTCACTTGCTGACCTCACTGGCTCAGTTTTGTCATTTTTAGATTTAAGTTAACACACTTCACCCAACCAGTGACTATGCTGCAATGAAATAAAGAGTAAAATATTGATATTTAAACTATTTGCACAGATGAATTAGATGTGGATGATATATGAGGGCATTGCTTTTAAGTGCCTGTGTTCCCAAATGCTCCCATCACAGAACTGACATCATCTTTCATAATGAAGATGATGTTGTAGCACTCATACAGTAGAAAGACAACAGCAAATAAATCAACTTGTTCACTTATTTTTGAAAGCGACCCCAGTGTCCTGCGCAAAAGAGAGAAAGAAAAGCCCTTATAGGAACTGTATGCAATGCCGTATCCTCTACTAACAAATACTTTAAGAGTAAACTGCATCTTATGTAAGATCTTTGTTTTTTGCTTGAACTCTGGGAGCAATCAGACACATTTTTAATGTTACATTTTCATCAGATTTACGTAAACAAGGTCGTGGTAAATTCTGTTGTGCCTTTTTGCTCAAGAAGAACACACCTAAAGAGAAAACTGATTCAAAAGCTTCCTCTTTTTGCTGTCATGTCAAAATAATACAAAAAAAATTAAGTTAAAAAGGGCACAGTGGTGAAAGATCAGTCTGATTTTAGGCAGGATGGTTATTTGGGGTACTTTTAAATCTCCAGTGATGCAGAGTGATGAATTCATCCAGAGAAGAAAGTAAAGTAGGAAAGTTGAAAAAAAAAGTCCAGCCCACCCAAAATAGAGAAACAAGGCTGGCGCTCCACTGGCCTAGTTGCATAAATGTGGATCGGATACACAAGTTAAGATTCCTCTGCAGGGGAAGCCTGTGTAAAACAGAGTGCGCCCCCATATAT